TATATACACACACATATATATATACACACACACACACACACACACACCACTGTTGCTTAACCCTTAGCTTGGAGTTCAGACCTACAACACACTTGTATAGGACTGTCTTTCTGAGGACAACAGTCATGAATTTATTTTACACACATTAAATTTTGTATCATATTCTAGAGCCTGTTTTGGTTAGTCTTCTAAACAGACATGAACGATGTGTCCTTTAATATAGGAGGAAACTAAAAGTTTGTCTTTTAAGACTGTATTCCACAATTACATGTTTTTTTTGGTCATTTATTAAGCAATGGTTGTAATGTAATGCAATTAGAAATTAAAACAGGATAGATGAGAAAATTGTTAGTACATTAAGATCAGAAATGGCTCTATTACTGTTGCATTTCATTTGACTATGACCACAGGATAAAGGTGCTGCATGTTGTCTGCATGAAGAGGTGAAATTTGTTTAAAAAAAATGAACACGTTTTCTAGAAATGTAACAAAAGAAATGTGTTCCTTTAATTTAAAGTAAATGTTATGAAATATGGGTTTGTTCTTCCTTACTGATGCAACATCCTGCTTGTGATAAACTGAAATTAGCTTGAACATCCGTGAGGATTTCTGGTTTATAATCTATTTTTCTCTCTGTGAGAAAAGACCTGAGGAGCCACCTCATATAAGAGTGAATTATCACTGTTTTAGGTGATTAGTGTTTGTACTGTTTTTTAATAGTTTTCATACAATTCTTGGTTTTGATGGCATCTAAATCTAACAGTATGCAGATACCATGTTGACTTCAGACAATCTTATCTCTTCAGTGCTTAGAAAAGTCATTTGTGTGTGTATATATATATATATTTTTTTTTTTGTTTGTTTGTTTGTTTTTTTGTTTACTGTTTCTTCCTCTTTTTTTTCATGAAGGACTATGAACGTTCACTCCGACAACTCAGCCTTGATGACATTGAACGCTTGGCAGGACGATTGCTTAACCCGGAAGGCGAGAGCATGGATACCTCTTACATGGACTAATATATATATATATATATATATATATATATATATAATGGATAACTTAAAATTGATTTTTATGTTGTTTGTTGTTTTTTTTTTCCCTTATCCTGTCCGTCATTGAGGCTGCAAGCAGTGTGAGTGTGAGGCTGTGGAAAATGCAATGTTTTTAATTTGCAAAGGTTCCCTGGTGTGTGCCTAATCTGTGGCTGAGCCAATAAGAATAACAATAACAGTTGATTATCAGCTTTCTTTTATTTCCACCTAGAAAGGACTTGATTCAGGAAACACGGCCACTTTGCTCCACCTCTTAATAGTTCGGTAATGACTCAGCCTGATACAAAAGAATCCATTGACACTGTTTCACATGATTTCTGGCTGTTGCAAAATCCCAGGGGACACTATTTATTACCAATGTCTGTGCAAATCAATGACTTTTTCTGTTAAATTGTGAGAAAGCACATTTTATTTATAACACTGATGGTCACATTGTGCTATTTGTAAATACTGTACTGTATGTTTATAAATGCAAACATTAAAACACGGGAAAATGAATTATTTGCTCATATGTTGTGTGCAGAGTTTTTAAAGTCTTAGAAGTTTTAAGTTCATGTTGAAAAAGGATGGACTGGTGTAAAATCAAAGCACCAAGATATCGAAATTGAAAGTTTTAATTTTATGGGCTTCAGAAGGCGGGACTAAATGTCACGTCACAACCAATCAGCTGCGACGAACCATGATGACACTTGTTTTTTGACCAATCAGATTGAAGCCGTTTAAAACTACCTCTGACAGACGGTTCGTGGTGTTGCTGCCTATTTTGGACAAAGAGTTCAATTCAGATACAGGTTGTTTTTTTTAATGCTAAACTATTTTTCTTAAAGTATGATGAACCGACAAGTTGGATAAGAGATAATCTTGGGTCTAAGGTGAGTGCGAAACGAGTTTTGTTTTGGCGGCTAAACTAGCTTTAGCATTATTAAAGCTTGCACATCTTTCACTTCCTGTCTTTAGCGAACTGGAGTTAGCGACAATATCGAGTGTTTGGACCTTACCATTTGTTGCAATTTAACCTAGACTGAAGCTTATTATCAATAGTATACGTTGTTATATTAAAAAGCCTTTGCTCAGTAGCCTGAGATGATTGGTGGGGTTTGAATGGGGCCGGGGCGTTACTCCCCTCTCATCAGGACCACTGATGAAGCAACACCGTTTCCCCTTAAAACTCTTATTTAATGCAGTTTTTATCTCAATTACAATAATCTATTGCCTAGTTTTGTCCTGGTTGGACAGTGCTGTCTCTGTGTCAGACATTTGGAATAATCTGAGTTACTGCTGTACTTTCAGCTCAAGTGTCTTTAACACATTTAGTAGGTGCGGCTGGTGAGCTGGAAGGATGGAGACTCTGATTCCCACCATCAACCGGCTGCAGGAAGTCTTTCTGACTGTGGGAGCAGAGATCGTTCAGCTACCTCAGATAGCTGTGGTTGGATCTCAGGTTAGTAACAATTAGAGTCCAGTTTTCAGAAACTGAGTTATTTTGGATGACATGTTATTTTAGCACAAAATGCTGATTTGAACTTGTCATCTGTGTTATATTGTTTTCACTGTGTGCCATTACAGAGCAGTGGGAAAAGTTCTGTGTTGGAGTCTCTGGTTGGGCGGGACTTTCTGCCTCGGGGATCAGGAATAGTCACAAGACGTCCTCTGGTCTTGCAGCTTGTTAATGTTCCCCCCCTGAAGGAGAGATTAAAGTCTGAGACTGGTACCCCAATATAAATCTTCTCTGTGTGCGTGTTTCCACGTCAGGATGTTATGTAGACAGAGTTGAATTGAGTAAATGTCAGCTATCAGTTTCAAGAAACCCATGGATATCCCTCACTTTTCTAATTCACTGTTTCAAACTGCTCCTTGTTTCTTGTAGACCTTTGCTTTCTCTTTGCTAACATGTTGACTTTCTTCCTGTTTTCCTCTACCTGTTAGGAAATGGGGTTAAACAAAATGCCAAAAGCAACTATCCAGGTCTCTTGTCTATTTGATCTTTATGGTCTTATCTTTGTTTCTTGTGTGAACCCTTTCATTCCTTATGTTCACTCAGACTGTAATCTATCTGGCATGATTTAAGTTGTGATTTTATATCTTTGTTGCTCTAGTTTTTACCTGCTTTGTCTATAAAGCAAATTAAACTTTCATTGGTTCAGGTGTCAAAGCTGAAGAATGGGGTACATTTTTGCACTGCAAGAACCAGGTATATTTATCCTGGAAATGCAAATTTTGTCATCTTTTATGTGCCGAGCTCAAGTGGTGAGTCGTTCTCGTTCCTATTTTACAGATCTTCACAGACTTTCAGGAAATCCGACAAGAAATCGAAGCAGAAACTGCACGGAGTTTAGGTGACAACAAGGTGCAAAGAATGTTTTCACGTGAACCTAAAAAGGCTGAAACTTTAACTTTTTATATTTGATGAACATGTAATCATTTTTTAAAATCTTTTCCAGGGAATCAGTCCCGAGCCCATATATTTAAAGATTTTCTCCCCCAATGTCCTTAACCTCACTTTGGTTGATTTACCTGGAATTACAAAGGTAAACAGACTCTAGAGTCTCATCAGTGCTGATTGAATTTCATCTCCACAATCCTCACAGCGTCTTTGCTGTGGTTACAGTAACTTTGGCAACTTATTGTCGCCTCAGGTTCCAGTTGGAGATCAGCCAGAAGACATTGAGATTCAAGTGCAAGAGATGATCTTGTCCTTCATCTCCAATCCAAACTCCCTCATCCTCGCAGTGTCTCCCGCCAACTCTGACTTGGCCACCTCTGATGCTCTAAAACTGGCTCGTGAGGTCGATCCTGACGGTTAGACATTTCACTTTCCCTCTCTTGTTGCATATTATCTGATGGCTCTTAAGTATAGATGCAGGAAGATTTCAGTACAGTGAGGCTTAGTCTTTTTACTTAAGAGTCCCTTTAAATATTAACGTTGCTGTCATAATGCATTTTAATGGTTAGATAAATTGATAAGAGAGCATAAAATGATCATCAGGGAGGGTAGCAGATTCTAATTGAAGTGTCTGTTGAACAAATAAATCTTCATCAAATGTTTCCTCTGAACACTTTAAATCCCTCCCAACAGAAACTTCTTATCTGCGTGTTTTGTCATGCTCCAGTGCATGTTCTCCTGCTGGCTATTATAAATAGTATTTTTGTGTTTGTCAGGCCGTCGAACACTGCTGGTGATCAGCAAACTGGACCTGATGGATGCAGGAACTGATGCACTGGAAGTCCTATTGGGTCGAGTCATTCCTGTGAGGCTTGGGATCATTGGAGTGGTTAACAGGTTAGAAATAATGAACTTGTCTTTAATGATAAAACTCCTTCAGTTTATTTAGTTTATCACAAGTTAAGTTTATAAGTTTATTTATGGTGTCTGTTCTGCTTAATGTCCTCATTACCCTGGAAGTCTTCCTAAACTCCAACTCTTTTTGTTCGTAGGAGCCAGCATGACATCAATACTCAAAAGAGCCTAGAGGAGTCGATGAAGGATGAGCAAGCCTTCCTGCAACGCTATTATCCTTCGCTCGCGTCCCGTGCTGGCTCACGCTACCTGGCCAAAACTCTGAGCAGACTGCTCATGCACCACATCCGTGACTGCCTGCCAGAGCTCAAAACCAGAGTGACCGTGCTGAGTGCGCAGTACCAGGCACGGCTCAACAGCTACGGCCAGCCGGTGGAGGACCAGAGCGCCACTCTGCTGCAGATTGTCACCAAGTTTGCCAGCGATTATTGCAACACCATAGAGGGAACAGCCAGGCACATCCAAACGTCCGAGCTGTGAGTATCACCTCACTCCTGTCGCTTCTGCTCTGAAATGAATGGCTTGCTTTGATTTTACAAACATTTGCTGAATAAATGTTTAAAATCTGTTTCAAGTGCTGTTAATAGAAGATGAGCATGAACATTTGTTTTAAAATTTCCAAACTTTTGTTGTTCTTTTTTGTTTTTAAACTACATTTTAAGCACAACCCTGATCGCCTGCTAGTTTTGTTTACTTTTCGCTCTCTGAACTTTTTTTTCGAACGCTGTGTGGTTTAAAGAATTTAGTACATGAAACAGCAATTAACCACAGTTGGTGAGTAATGTTGCGTTTGTAATGTCCCGAGGGTAATATAAGTGTAAATTGAAGTGGAATCAGCGTCTTCTTTTGGGAACTTCATCTCTTCAGCTCTTTTCCCATCAGGCAATTAATTCATTTGACTATGTCGAGAGCAAATATTGACCCTTTTTGGTTGACTGCATTTAATTTGGGCTCCATTAACACGACTGACACGCAGAGCACCGGTGTCACAGCTGAACCCCTCTCCCCTGCAGTTGTGGAGGAGCTCGAATCTGTTACATATTCCATGAGACTTTTGGCCGCACTCTGCAGTCCATCGACCCCCTGGGAGGACTGACTGGTCTGGATATCCTCACTGCCATTCGCAACGCTACGGTGAGCTCCTGCTTCTCTTTGGGCAGGTCCTTGAACATTTATTCTGGTCAAGTTCTCTCGTTTGGATAAATGACTGGCATAATGATGGTCTTGGTCTGTGTTTGTTTGTGTGGTTTGCCCTGCAGGGTCCTCGACCTGCACTTTTTGTGCCCGAGGTGTCTTTTGAGTTGCTGGTGAAGAGGCAAATTAAGCGTCTAGAGGAGCCCAGCATGCGCTGTGTCGAGCTCGTCCACGAAGAGCTGCAGAGGATCATCCAGCACTGCTCCTCCTATAGCACACAGGTTAGCCAAGAGAATGAGATTCACACACACACTGGAGGTTTGTTAAAATACAGCTGAATTAATGAGAAAAACAACATGTCTTTGTTTGTTCAAGGAGCTCCTGCGATTTCCCAAACTGCATGATTCTATTGTGGAAGTAGTGACTGCGTTACTGAGGAAGCGTTTGCCAATCACTAATGAAATGGTAATTGACAGCCATCTTAAAATCATCTTTTTATTAATTATAACAAACCGTAAAAGTCCTAATGATGATCTGTTTTTTTTTTTAACAGGTGCACAATTTAGTAGCCATAGAGCTTGCCTACATAAACACAAAACATCCAGATTTTACCGATGCAGCGCAGGTCTCAGCATCTGTCAACAGTCAACAGGTAGATTTGGTGGTTTGTTTTCAAAAGGCACTTTTCATAACTCGTTCCTTCTGCCAAAGTACACAGCTGATGTTTGTGCTCTGTAAAGCCTCATTCTGTATTAGTACAAGTTAAAATGCCAGACTGTAAGAGTTGCTTTTCCCCTTTGATTTTTTTTTGGGGGGGGTCGTGCTTTCAGGCGGAGGCCATGGATGGAGGGAAACGCTGGAAGAACGAGAAGGTTGGGGAAGAGAAAACCCCAGCCACGGGCTTTGGCAGCCCGAGCAAAGGCCAGCCCATTAACCTTCTCGACACAGTGAGTGATGGGATCATCAGGAGAACCAAACATTTAGGATTTCCTTCTTGCAGGCTATCAAAGTTTAACTCGGCCCCCCTCTCTACCAGGCTGTTCCTGTTTCCCGCAAACTGACAGCCAGGGAGCAGAGAGACTGCGAGGTCATCCAGCGGCTCATCAAGAGCTACTTCCTCATTGTTCGCAAAAGCATCCAAGACAGGTTTGATTTGACTGGAACTGATCCAAAACCCTCTCTGCCCCCGTGTCTCATTATTGAAAGCCGTTTCCTGACTTCTGACTTGCACCTGTGCGTCTGCAGTGTGCCAAAGACAGTGATGCATTTCCTGGTGAACCATGTGAAGGAGCATCTGCAGAGCGAGCTGGTGGGTCAGCTCTACAAGCAGCCGCTGCTTCAGGAGCTGCTCATCGAGTCACAGGACACGGCACAGCAGCGAACTGAGGTCGCTCAGATGCTCGAGGTAAACCTGGATGAAGCCAGAAGAGCAAGTTTTATTTTTCTCTGCCATGTTAATCTAACCAGCCTCTATGCCTTTTGTTTTCTTCAGGCTCTCAAAAAAGCCAGTAATATCATCTCTGAGATCCGAGAGACCCACCTGTGGTAGCAGAAGTAGTGCACGAGTGTCTGTCAGGGGACAGCTTTGAGAGCTTGAGAGTGGATGTGAGTTTACTGTAAAGAAAGTGCTGCAGTTCCACAGTTTCCTCCTGGACTGATGACCGCAGCACATTTAGACCAACGTTTTCCCATTAGCTGTTGCTTTGTACTGTGAATGTTAATGTAGAGAGAACAAAATAGTCACTCAGGTCAAAAGTGTTGTTTCTAAGTTGAAAATGTGAGAAACAGCCGTGAACAAAATCCTTTCCACCCCCATGATGAGAAAGTTGTAAGGTTTTAGCTGTAATTGTGACGTTACCGTGCACCATACGTGAATTATTTAAATTATTTTGTTATCCAAAGATGTCCTCACTGCGCAGTTTATCCTGTAAACTGGGTTTTCTCTGAACCTCTCATCGCAGGTGCTGGTTATATTAAAATGAACATTTGGACCCTCACTTTTTTTTTTTTTACTTAACAGAAATCTAAACAAAGTCAAAAGTCATCTCTTGTTTATTCAGACTGCAGTACAACTCTGAAGATGCTCTACAGTCAGTTTCAGTTATTATCGGGCGACTCCACGTTGCTGTTTCATCTTTCGAGGGATTAATAATGTTGCTTTTATTATCCACAAACACATTTACATATCAGAATATTTGCACTGTTTCATAATAATACATGTTTGTGTTTGGACATTATGGAAAAGACCAGACATTCCCAACATGCATTTCCTTCTTCAGTATGTTAAAACGCTTGGATAACAATATTTGGTACCACTTTATAATAAGGCTCCCCTTATAGATGGCTAATAGTTTATAGATATGTTATTAATCCTCTATAAATACTTTATAAATCATTAATAACTGCTTATTATGCACGGGGACCGAGATGGTGTAGAGGCAGGGCAGCCGGCTTGGGACCCGAAGTTCGATCCCCAGTCACTGCACATCACGTGGCGTCTCTGGGCAGCACGTCTCATCCCCAAAATCCCCCCGGGCGCTTTCAATAGCTGCCCACTGCACCACCTGGTGGTGGATGGGTTAAATGCAGAGACTAATTTCGCCATTGTATGGAAACATACAGTGCTGACATTGTGATGACATTATTATTATTATTATTATTATTATTAATTAAGGGCACTTTTAAGTATCTGTAGTTGTAGAGACTTATAATGCAGTGATAAAGTACAATATTATATGCTAAATAAATAGGTTTACAAATGTTCATTGTGCTTATAGTAACTTATTCTGAAATGTTTAATAAAACAACTCTAGATGAAATATATAAGTGAACAGATTTGGCTCACTATTTGGCAACAAACTGCTCAGTTTTGTCATTTTTTCACCCTTAATTAATGCTTAATAAGCAGTAATGATTTATAAAGTGTTCATAAAGGAATTAACAACATATCTATAAACTATTTATTAGCCATCTGGGGGGAGCTTATTGGAAAGTGGTACCCAATATTTTGCTTTGTTACTTGAGAGTTGGTCAGTTTTGATTGTTTAAATATCTCTAAAAGGTTGTAGTCCCACGTATCTTTAAATCCAGATAACTTTCACGTCTCTAATTCAGATATTTCCGTGTTTTGCTGTGAGTGTAAAGATGACAACAGATGTTTCCATCTTGGCTCTCTTCAGTCACCCAAGCTGCCCCCGGGAGTGAGACTCAGGTTGCAGCTATTTTTGGCGTTCTCAACTCAAAATGTACTACACGTCCTAATTTCACCCACAGCCTCTGTGCCAATCATTTATTTATCTGTTGCCTGGTTTAACATCTCCCTTCAGTCTAAATCACTTACAACAATCAGCTATCTTAAACAATTATGCTTTCTCAGGAGGACTCTTTTTTTTTTTTTTTAATAGGATTATCAAGCTCTGTCTTTTTCTGTTTCTGAAAACCGTGTTCAAGGTTGCATGTGTGTGATCAGTATGCATGTGCAGAGGTGTGAATAAATGTATATTTTGTATAATTTAAATATAGATTATCTATCATGTTTTCTGCCTCTGAGTTCTTGCCTGCCAATATTTGTGACACATGTTTGTTGAATGGGTTCATAATTGCTCATTAAACTTAAACAATGGACACGTTCTCTGGTCAAAAGTCTGTTTTCTGCCGCAGCTACAGCTAAGTTGTTATGAGCACGTAGACGGTGGAAGGATCATGGTCAAGGTTCTTTATTGTCATTCGCATCACATGAGGTGGAACGATTGTGTGCACATCATCATGGTTGTATCATGGTAGAGTCTCTGTTTGTGTGTACGTCCACAAACCTTCCCATAACTTCGGACCTGCTCAAGATAATTCAACAAAACTTCATACACGTGCATGATCACTAGACGGAGTGTCGTGTATACCTTTCATCACCCCAGCTCCAAGGTCAATGTCACAAATCAAGGTCAAAGTTTATACAAGGCCTTCACTTGTCCAGGCCATTGCTATAGATTGTAGTATTTCTGTGTAATAGCTTATAATGTGCTGAATGGGGCACTCTGTTTTTGCGTCACTCTCAGTGGTGCAAAATTGTCTACTGCATTTTATTGACCATACTGGTCAAGATGTCTTTACCACAGTTACATAGTCAGGATAGAGATGGGGTGTCTTAATGATCAAACACATCAGAATCATAAGTGCCAGGTTAAAACCTCCGTTTCCTTTGTGTCTGTCAAATCTCATTTAAAATGTACTTCTCATGAATTTTGGAGTCCGGGCAGTCCAAGTTAAACATGAGCAGAGAAGTGATGAACGTGTTCCAGAAAAACTGGAGCTGGTCATTAAAGGTTGGTGAGAGTGTAAGATGTCACAGTTTTTATGTTTTTGGCACAGATGAATTAAATCTGCTGAATTCACGATCTCCACTGTTGTTTTTATTAGAGGCGCAGCAGAGAGCCAGATGGAGCAGCTTCATTTCACCTGCTCTAAGCCCCAGAATAAAGAACCTAACATGTAAAAACTCCCATCTGGTGAGCTTTTGAATTTGCTTGTACTCTCCCCTCCACTGTAACCAGTTATTCTGATCACCCTCTTAAAGCACACCCCACCAACTGAGACTGGACCAGACCATACCAACTCCAATATGATGGGAGGGTGATCAGCTGCAGCATCAACACAAATGCATCCTCTTTGTCACCTAGAATCCACTAAACAAGGACAGATTCCTCCAAAATGGCATTGCCACAAAGGTATACATTTCCCCTGGCTCCTCTGGTGCTGAACAGAGGCGTGCAGAGATGTTTGGAGCTGTTTTTCCCTCCTTGTGTTCCACAGACTGTTGAGCCAGTCAGAGCAGCCTGAACAAAGCCATGAGAAGGAGAGAGAGAAAGAGGGAGAGCTTCTGGGAAGAAATGTCTCTCCCTGACTCTGTCGCCTCGACAACCAGCTGAGAAAGGAGGGGAGGGAGGACCAGAAAGGGACGGAAGGGACTGTGGAGCATAAAAGAAGAGGAAAAACAACATGAGCTGCTGAAAACAGAAGATTCCTGCAGAGTGAGGAAGGAAAAGGGATTTTTGTGTAAGGTTTCCCAGGGTGCACCTTTCTCCTGATGAGTTATGAACTATGATAATAAAGCATTATATTATTTTTTCTCTCACATCAGTGCACGGAGCAGATGAAACCTCAGAGCACAAGTTCAGAACAATCAAAGTGGACCAGGCAGGCCTGTGCAGGCTCCACCTGTGATTCTTGCTCCGTCAGCCTCAGGTAAGTCCTCAGTGCTGCAGACATTTGCTTTGATTAGGGAACAGTTTTGACTTTCCTGCTGATGAAATGTAAATATGCTGATTGCTGGGGGCAGCCAGATATGCAGTAAGATACAAAATGACAGCACGCCATTTTAATAAATCAAAAGTTTGGTGTCCTTATATGTGTTCAGTGTATATTTATGCTGCAAAGTGGGAGAATTAAAAACAGAGAGTTGTGTTTGCTCTTTTTGTTTCACGAGGCTGAGCAAAATTAAAATAAAAATCCTCCCCAGCATGCTTCACTCACAGGACACATTGCTGCAAATCATTGACGGTCTCAGAAATGAACATCTCTGTTAGGTGATACAGAGTTTGACTTAAAGCTCAGACTCAAGAGTGTGGAAAGAATAGAAACACTGCGCGCACTCATGCATAAGAAACATATTCATAGAATAGCAGTGGTGGAATCAATGCCTCTGTAAACTGGGTGGTATTCTCACTGAGCTTACGTTGATGCTGAATGGGGTGCCCATGATGGATGAGATGGAGAGGGGATAAACTAATGAGGGTGTGACACGAGCAAAAACATCTCTCACCTTTGCTTGATAGAAATACAGAGAAAAGGCAGCAAGAAGGGTGAGACCAATGGGAAGGAGATGCAAAGAGCAGAAGTATGATGGAACTGCTGGGAACAATCGTGAAGCGAGTCGTAAGATGCTGGGATTGCTTTGAGCTCCCACTTCATGTGCAAGATGCAAACTGAAAGATCCAGAGGAGGGTGATTATACTGATGATCCACTTGTTTGTATTTTTTATTTTAGTCACGGTCATAATGGGCTTAAATGAGTCAGAGACTTTATTACACTTTTCTGTTTCAGCCTTTAACTGAGGGAAAAACCTAATCTAATACAATAAAAAAGGTAACAAATTGTTGGCATTGCTTAAAAAAAAAAGAAGTCTGATCCAAACAAACAAACAAAACAAAAAAAATTAGGGGTGCACCGATAACGGCCGATTTATCGGCCCCGAGTTCCTTAATTTGGGGAAATCGGAAATCGTCCGATACTTGCATGAGAAATCGATTTTGTTTTAACAACAATTGTCTGAACTTCATTTATATTTCAGAGCACTACCTCATGGCCAGTTAAATTAATCTGTATTGTTTCAAGGATATTATTCAAGGGTATATTTTTCAATAAATTAAGATTGGAAATTGAAAGTGCATTGTGACTTTACAACACCTGACAGTGTCGCTTATAAAACAAAATCGGTATCGGCCAAAATCGGAATTGACAGGTCAGACGTTTTAGAAATCTGTGATCGGCCAGAAAACTGCAATCGGTGCACCCCTAAAAAAAATAGCACCACATACTGTATGCTCAGCTGTCAATGCACCTCTGGATGAAATCTTGCTGGATGTACAAGACATTCCTAACTTGAATAAATCCTCTTGCGATTCATCTTAAATTTTCCTGTTGTACTGTTTATTCCTCCATCCATTATCTTTTCCTGCTTCTTCCTTTTCGAGTCGAGGGGGTCACTGGTGCCCATGTCCAGCAGTCACTGTGCGAGAGGCGGGGGACACCCTGGACTGGTCTACAGTCCATCACAGGGACACATAGAGACAAACAACCGTTCATTATCTCACACCTAGGGACAATTTAGAGTTGTCAATCAGCCTAACATGCATGTTTTTTGTCTGTGGGAGAAAACCCACACATTCACGGAGAGAACATGCGAATTCCAATCAGAAAGGTTCCAGGCCGGGATTTGAACCGGCGACCTCGCTGAGAGGCGACAGCTCTACCAGAGTCAGAGGTTTTATTGTCATTCAGCTACGTACAAGTACAAAACCGAGTTCCTCCAGGATCACGGTGCAACACAGAACATAAAGTGAAAAACAACATAACACACAGTGCAGACACACAACAGAACAATAAATACAAAAATACATCTAACCTCATCTAAACATTCTGATCTAAACAAATAATTAGGAGAAGAGAGACACGTGTTGACTAGTACATGTGTAGGTGGTGCATGGGTTAGAAACATGTTCTGATATAGCAGCGTAAAGTTTTTCTATTTTTATAGCAGCAACTGAGACCGTGCTGTTCTGTACTGTTTAATTCATTAATGCAAATATTTCAATAATATAACCGTTAAAAAAAAGACTGTTTGCACAGGAATGTGCTAGTTGTAAAAATGTTATGAGGCTTTTTCAAATTAAGACATTTAGCAACAGGCAGTAGAACTGCAGATTAAACTGGGCGTAGCTCTTATAAGTTATTGAGTCTGTGTAACAGAGTTGCATTTGGGCCAAAATATTCGATCTGACCTGGCCCCAGCCCATAGCCATCATTTCTGAACCCCACCCAACCCGACGAATTAACAATAACTACAGGTCCAAACCTGAAAAAAACCCTGACATTTTTAATTTAAGCTTTGACTGCTTACTATAGTTATTAACAGTCGGCGGATGTGCGGCTGAATAAAAGTGGCAGAAGATCAGAGCTGAGGGGGTGTCATGGCCGTCAAAGTGCATTAAAACCCTGTTCCTGCCTGCATTCTGCATTATTCAGACACGGACCCTGCTCTGACATGTCTGCTTTGGGATCTCAACTGTTTGGGTCGTCGGCCGGGTGTGTCTGATGAGTTCAGTGGCTGAACGTCCATTTGGGCAATGGGTCACTTCCTGGCAGTATAGTCCCATATGAAGCTTAACTGAACTTTATTTTACATCTTTCAAGGCCGGTCAGCTCGCGGTGAAATGGCTGCATGCTGCTGGTGAATGTATGACATGCCATGTTGCCATATAATTGGATCGCAGTTGATCTGCTGACGCAATCAAAAGCCCAACACCGACCCAGCCTGCCCATCCAGCACATTATCATGGCCTGGTCCGCCCCGAATTCGTGTCGGGCCGGGCCGGGCTTTGGGCCTGGGTTAGAAATGACAGCTCTACTGTGTAAATAGTTGTGATCACAACTTAATTTGCAAAAGGCCTCAAAGCAAATGTTTTAGTGTATAAATTTAAGTTAAGCTAAATTAGATTTATGGTGTATGTGACATCTCAGACAGTATGAATAAAGTTTCAAACTGCACAACACATCCCACTACAAGCAGCTGATGTACCTCTAAAAGCAGCAGGAGCAGGTGAGCTGCGTCACTTAAAAATAAATCAAAAAGCCAGAGAGGAAGTTCCTAACTGATTTAAATATGAGGCAAGGTCAGGTTAACCGCTCGCACAACATACATGATACAAGAGGAGGGGGAGTGAGCCTGAACTCGTGCACATCATTACTTCTTCGTTCGTTAATCCGTTCCAGTTTTCAGTATATTACTACATGACAAAGATTCTCATGACTAAAAATAACACTGCTTCATTAAACAAAATGCAGCTTTTATTCCAATAAATACAAAACACATGACGTCAAGTGACTGGATTTTTAACCCACACCTGCACAGGGTTTAAATGGAGTTCTCTTAATCCCTGCAGAATAAGTGGCAGCGCTGAACATTTCTGACGTCTTGTAAACACATTAGTTATACTAGGCTCTGCAGTGCTTCACAGCTGTGTGCGTTGCTCATAATTATTGAGCACGAGGTGTAATGTTCTTCAACACGGAGGAGCGGCGGACTCATCTGTGAGAGAGAAATGGATGTGTCCCGGAGGCCGTGCATCACTTTCTGCTGCTGTGTACCTGCAGCTGTTGTAAGACACGTGTAAACAGGCGAGGGTTAGCAAAGAGCTGTGACTAATAATGAGCACTGCTTTTCAAAGAGCTTCACTAAGTTCTCCAAAGTGACAGATTGTATTTCTAACCTATCATTTCAAAATGGGGACAGCATTACAGCTGTGGAGATGAAATTATTATTAATACTTAACATGAAATATCTTCACAGATGATGGAGGTGCTGTTTGGAAAATGGCTGTGGATCTCCAGTCATTACCAGAGCTCTTCTCTCCTCTTGTTCCTTTGCACTCCTCCCATCATATTGCTGCACTCGTCTGTTCCTCCTCTCGTCTCCTGCCAATGCGAGTACAATCATTAAAACAAGACAGAGAGGCAGAAACAAAACCTAACAGGATTAAGTAAATCTAATTACCAAGATCAGCAGATGTATTCAGTTTCATTGCCCTTAAACACAAAATTATAGCTCACATTTTGCATTCAAGACCGAACACCTAACTGGTTCTTTATCTCGGAGGAAATATGAGAGTCTTCTGCATTACAGAAGAAAATGTAAAACAAACGCATAACGGTGCTTATTTCAGAATAATGGTTCTTGATGGCTGCAGTTAGCCAGTGATTCTGCGTACAGACAGCAGCCGGTGAATTGGATTCAGATATTATTTTCAAAACAGATGCTGGTGTAATCAAGTGGTACCTGAAAATAAGTGGATGGATGGCTGAATAACGGTGTATTTGTTTGAAACACCGTGCTTCATGAATATATCTGTCTTCCTAGGGTGCAGGTAGTTCACGCTCACACTCCTTCCCCCCGCTTTTTTTAAAAACAGCACAGCTGTCCTTGGCTGTGCACTACGATAACACGCTAATTAATAAAACCAAGAGTTGTTCAGTTGAATAAAAAAGCCAAAACGTGTCCACGACTTACAGAATATTAGATTTGGTGTGGAGTTCTTGTTTTTTTAACTTTATTGTCATATATTGCATAAAAAGGGGGCAATGTGGAATAAAACAGCATTAGCTCATTGGAGTCCTGTGGATATTTCACATAAAAAGCTCTCTCTCTCTCCCCCCCCTCTCTTGAAAAGCAAAGAGCTACAGCTTTTAACGATGTGGTCATTACACACGTCCATGAGCTGCTCCATTATCACTGAACTGCTGACTTTGTCGCACACGGTGGCCATACTGATTGACTGCTGCAGACACGCATGTCCTCTGCTGTAACTCATATTTAACGCCCAGTGTTCCTTGAAGGAATATTAGTTTTAACTAAGATCATCTTATGTTGAGAAATGACCACGTTGTAGCATTTTAGTCAAACCTTGTGGAGAATGTCGTGCACCATCTTGTGCGATTATATCATTTCAATTCAGTTCAACCTTTATTTCTACAGGTTAGTCTCACTGAGCCTCAAGGACTCGTTTACAAGAGAGACCTGGTTTAAACAAAGAATGATGACGATGGTAGACAGTTATTTTAAAAAAGCATATAAAATGAAAAGTAAATGGAAGAAATTAAATTAAAAAAATGAAAACAAAACCAGCTACATTATAAAGTGATGTAAAATACTAAAAACAGGAACCTGTCTGCGTTGGTTCTTGCCAGAAACTTAGCAGATGTTTGAAGCCACGTAGAGAGGTCAAGGTCGAGAGCTTCAAATCTTTTTGCAAGATGTTCCAGGAAACGGGAGCGGAATAGGAGAAAGCCCTTTTTGCTAAGTTCGGTCCGCACTGAGGGAACACTGCAGGTAATAATGTCCTGAGAGCGCACGCTGTAGCTGCACTCATGCAGAGACATGTAGGAGGAGATGTATGAAGGCAGCAGACCAAGAAGTGATTTAAAGATGAAAATGTACTAGTGAGAGAGTCTGCGTGAAGTTCATGATGACCAGTTAACCAGTGAATACAGGGTGCAGTGGTGGGTACGGTAGTTACAGCCAGTTATGAATCTTAGTGCACCATGATAGACAGCATCCAACATCTGCAGGGTTCTTGTTGGAGCGTTCATGTAAATAATGTCACCATAGTCAATGGAGTGAAGGAAAGTCACAGATACAAGGCGTTTTCTAGCATTCAGGGTTAGACAGGATCTGTTTTTGAAAAATAAACCCAGTTTAACTTTCAGTTTCTTTACCAAGTTTTTGACATGGAGCTTAAAAGAGAAATGCGAGTGGACCAAGATACCCAAATATTTATAGGAATCGACAATTCAATAGAGACACCATTCGAAGATAAAATTGGGGGAAGAAATGCTGGGACCAACTTCCTGTTTGAAAACAACATCCCTTTGGTTTTGTCAGCATTTAGCACCAGTTTGAGATGGAACTAATCAGACTGGATGATGTTGAACGTAGACTGTAAAAGCTGGAGAACCTTAACTGTTTTAGCTCGACAGTAAACAACTGTGTCATCAGATGTGTTAGTGCTCAGTGATCACTTTTGAACGTTTCATTAAAATCTGAGGAATAATAATAAACTTGTGTGAAAAATGGAAACTACTGTTTTTTTTCCACTCTGGGAGTGTGCTGTTTGTGGGATTCAGTTTTATATGGTGGGCTCCTCAGACTGAAGAAGTCCTTCGGATGAAGAACAAAACGTCTCAGCAACAAAAGAAACCATCCAGATGACCTAAATGAACATTGTTGGATTTATACTTGAATTAATGAGCATGAACTTTGGTGAAACTACCGTACATTTCCACAAACCAATCCGCCTGCAGTTCACTTTAAGATTCAGCCTCTAAACAATTGTTCAAACTAAGGAAGCTTTGACTGTTAATTTTATTAACGAAACATTATAAATTTAAATGTTCTCCTCTTTATGATGGGTTTCCACTGCAGCCATAGAGCTGCTTGCAGCTTTGTTTCACACATAATCACGATGCAGTTTCTTACCTGGCTGACCTTAAAGCTCAGCTCTAAAGACACTAGATAAATTGCCCACAGTTAGCATGCACCGTGCACGCCACCACCAGAATGCAAACACAAGATAGCGTAGACGAGCAAAAACAAGTGGCACCTATTGACACCGTTAGTGAAAGGCTGCCCATCACAGGAGATAAACCTGCAGCTCTGTTCAACACCCCTCTCGCTCCTTTTGTCAGTAATTAGACGAGTGAGATGATTTAATTTGGTGTAAAGTGGTCTTGACTGCGCCTTGACTCTTGACATGCAAACACCCACCAGCAGACCCTCTCCAGGTGATAATACCTGACAGAGAGAGGGATCGAATCACAGCTTTTATTCAAGCTCATGTGAGCAGCATCTTAAAGCATGGGCCTGCCAGCCACCTTTTTTAATAAGTCCTTGAAGTCCCCCCCCCCCCCCCAGTGTCTTTCTTCATACAAGCCTGCCAGTGGGTCAACAGCTGTTTGAGGACATACTTTCTCTTGTGTCCTTGCTTGCTCAGTACAACCTTTCTGCGAGTTACCCTCTCCTTCGTTTTGTTTAATGCTTGTGTTGACTGCTGGCAGCTCAAACATCTATTTCATGCTCAGGTTCACTTACTGGAGGAGAGCAAAGGCAGAGGGAGCTGTGTGCGTGAGTAATAATCATGTGGGTTGCTTTCAGGTGCCAGCATGGATGTGGAGGATGAGGCGCTGCTGTTTCAGACCAGCTGGGGTGGTGAGGAGGAGGAAGAGGAGGAAGAAGAAGAAGAGGACGAGGATGGAATGACACATGCTGCTGGTCAGAGATGTTTATGTGGGGTGTGGAGGGCAGTGGGGTGGGTTTACACACAGCCCTGGGCTAGTGGAGTGGTTTTAGGGGTGGCCTTCCTGCTGCCATGTGCCCTGTTTGCCTACATGCTGCTCTACTGCCCTCCTCTGGACATAGACCTCTCCTACAGTGCCTTCGAGGTTCACAGCCACTTCTCAGCAGAGCGCTTTGATGCCCTCACCATTGCTGTAAAGACTCAGGTGGGGTCCTGGGACAGACAGAGGCGTGACACAGAAAACACGGAGGCTGAGGCGCTGCAGGAGCTTCTGCTGGAGAAGCTGGGGACAAAGAGCGTCGTCTTCTCTCAGCTGAACAGCACTTTACAGGCAGAAGATGATCAAAAGAGAGGAGCGGCGGAGAGGGATGCGAGGACAGAATCTGATGTGAGTCAGAGGGAGATGAGGATGGACAGGAGCTCAAATCCCAGACCAAAGGAGGAGAGATTACATGTCAGCAATTCCTCCTCCTCTCTGATGAGGAGGCGCAGGTTTGCTTCCAACTACTATATGCAGAGCCAAGCTCTGTGGAGGATCGAGCTGGTGTTTGTGGCTCAGGGGCAAGGTGATCGCAACATCTTCACTCCAGAGCGCCTGCAGACAGTTCACCGTGTGGAGCGCCTGCTCATGCAGCACCCGCAGTTTCATCAGTTCTGCTGGAAGCCAATGGAAATATTACGGGACCTGCCATTGGGACCGTCTTACTGCTCCCCACCCAGCTCTCTTCTGTCTTACCTCTACCCCACTGAAAGAGGGGGAAAGATCTACTATGATGGAATGGGGCCAGACCTGGCTGATATTCAGGGTACGTCCACACAGTCACACAAGTCATCAATGACTCCCTTCTAACTAAACGGCTGATTCACCAGTTTGTGTTTTGTTGTAGGCTCTTTAAGTCTGGCCATAACCCACCCACAGTTCTACTGGTACGTGGATGAAAGTCTGTCTCCAGAGCGTCTGTCCTCCTCGCTCCTACGCAGCGAGATCCACTTCGGCGCTCCTCTGCCGTCCTACTACTCCCTGCAGGACCGAGCAGATGAGCAGAGAGCTCACTTTAAAAACTTTGTGGTTCAGTATGCAGACATGCTGGCCAAGCAATCCACCAGGTCAGAGCAGCCTCAACTCTGAGTCCGAGTTCAATCCATTCAGGTGTTTCTGTATATTTGTTGTTAGAGCATCACCAGAAAGGTTTTCTAATCTGCTTCTCTCCGTGCAGTCAGGTGAAGGTGCTGTATGGAGGGACAGAGCTGTTTGATGATGAAGTCAGACACACCTTCTACAACGACATGATGCTGGCTGTCTTCAGCGGAGCCTGCATCACTCTGCTCGTCTACATCCTGACCTCTTTTTCTGGTGCAGTATGGCCGGTTTTGCTTCGCTTGTGCATAGATCACATGTTTGAACTTAGTTTGGATTCACCTGAAAGTTTACAGACTTTGCTCTCTTGTGTCTTTAAAGTCTTTTTGACTTTCTTCGGTCTTGCTGGCATCGGCCTGAGCTGTCTGATGGCTCTGTTTTTGTACCACGTTGTCTTTGGGGTGAGGTACCTCGGCATTCTCAACGGAGTTGCGGCATTTGTTATCATTGGAATCGGTAAGATGTGTTCACTTATTGTTTTTCTTGAGGAGTATACTGTCACTTCTGTTTTACTGATTTAAAGCCTTTGCTTTATTTAACCTACAGACTGAAACCAAAATAGTGTCAAAGGTTCAAAGGTTTTTCAAACTCTTACCTCCTATACTTTTCTTAACTTTTTTCAGCTTAATTATGGTAAATTTCAATTCAGTTCAGTTTATTTATATAGCACCAATTACAACAGAAGTCATCTCAGGTCACTGAGCAGAAACATTCATATATAAAAAATAAGATACAATTATTTATCTGAGGAGCAGACTGCTTTGAATTTAACTCCATCACAGACTCTCATCTTGAGCAAGAATGAAGGCGACAGTGGAAAGGCAAAACTCCCTCGTGAGGAAGAAAACTTTAGCAGAACCAGGCTCAGGACAAGCATCCATCTGCTTTGACTGGCTGGGTTTGAGAGGAACAGATACACAATGGCAGGTCAAGAATCACATGTTAAGAGAGAAATAATATCAAATGAAAACTAAAAAAGGAAAAAAAAACAAAAATAATTGAATGTTTCAGGTAAAATTGGGAAAGTAAAATACTTAGGTTGTAAGTTGCTGCAAAAATAAAACTTTTGATTTTGCTGTTTGATTCGGATTTTATATTAATTGTTTATGGAGCCATCTATTATTTAATATTAGCTGCGTATGATACAATAATAGGTGCAGCTATTTTCAGACATTTACATCAGCACAAATGCTCTTCATGAATGTTCTTGATAAATATTGTTTTTTGTCAGCTAACCTATGGTTTATTCAAAAAACAATTTCTGACATATAAGTACAAAGTATTTGGTAGTTTTTCTTTTCTTAAATCTCACATTTGATGAGCTCTCAGTATCTAGTATAAATCTTTATAAATCAAGTATAAAGTGTTGAAAGTATAAAGTATTTCTCTCAAGGATGTAACAGATAGAAAAAAATAGAAACACAAAGTTTAATTACAATATCTCTAAATTGGCTTGTATTGACAGTAAATTGTTTTTTTTAGTAAAAATGGTCCAGCTGTAAACAGCTAAACCGTGGACAGATTAGTATCTTCCTGGCATCTTGTCATCTCAGAGGTAATCCAGGCAGAGAAGTCACATGACCGCCCATCAGACCAGCACATCACACGCTCTAAAGATGCAGGAATTATTTGTTCAGTTTTCTGTCGTATAAGTTGTTGTACATCTGAGAAAGACATTTTGTTATGCTTCGACAATAAGGATATGGACAAAGACTTGATCTACTTCACCCAACTTCTACTTCTCCTGGGAAAATTTCACATTCGCAAGAAAAAGTGGTCAAACTCCAAGTCAAGGATGACGCACTTCAGCAAGGAACTTTACATATACAGCCACAATTCAAGGACTTGAAAACAAAAAGGCAATGAAGCCATCTCAGTTTTAGAAAAGCTCAATGTGAGTTTATCTATATAAACTGTAAATAGATTGTTTTGTATCTTTTTAGACTTTTATACCTTTTGTACCATTTTATAGTTATATTGTTCTTTTTTATACTTGTATACTATTACTTCTGTGCCTGTAAATATACCCCTGGCAGTCACATGTTTGTAATGTTGATAAAATCTTAATAATAAAAACAAAAACAAAAAAATGCAGGAATGTGCTTCCTGGGTCACAAAAGTAACGGAGCCAAAGCACAATCTGAACGATTAACCCAGAATCAGCTGGTCCAAATCCTGGTGCTGGGGGGGGAGCAAAAATCAGTAGATTGTCTAAATTCACATAACTTTTCAAGAGTTTGTCTAATCATGGTAGTTAAATTGGTTAATTCTCACCTCTAACAGGCTCTGATCCAACCAAACCCAAACAGCTGCTTCTCGTTTTCTCAGAACCTGCCAGTTCCCCCTCCTAATTCCAGTCTTCATGTTTTGTTTTTACCTCTATGTAATCAAGGGAACATATTAAACTGTTCTTGAAAGTAAAAACAATGCACTCTTTTTTTACAGTGCACTGATCCGAAGCATTCTCACACTCCTCTGCTCTTCACCTCTCAGGTGTGGATGATGTGTTCGTGTTCATCAGCACCTTCAGACAAGCCTCTCACCTGCGGCAGCCTCAGGAGCGAATGATCTACACGATAAAAACAGCCGGCAGGGCGACATTCCTCACCTCCTTCACAACGGCAGCTGCCTATGCTGCCAACACCTTCTCCCAGGTAATCACGGAGGAGAAATGCAGCATTTAATGGGATCTTTATGGGAAATATGGCTCCTCTGGTGTGGATGAATAGAAGCGCCGCTCTCAGCAGACAGCCAGATAAGCACAAATTGAATGTTTCAAGGTCGTTTACAGTGTGCTACATTTAACTGACACTCAGATCCCAGCCGTGCATGACTTTGGCCTGTTCATGGCCCTCATTGTCAGCTGCTCCTGGCTTTGGGTGTCTGTCCTGATGCCAGCAGCTCTGTGTATCTGGACTCAGCACGTGGAGCCTCACGAACACGCCTGGCTGAACTGGTGAGCGGTTATTTTCTTGATTCTGTGTGAGATTGTTTTTCTTCAGCTGAGATCCCTTCAGCTGTCTCTCACTTTAAACTCTCTCCTCTCTGAAGCGTGAAGTTGTTTTTGGGCCTGTCCTCGAGCTACAGTCCTTTGTCAGATGAGGATGATGATGTGGCACTTCTGTCGGTGGAGATGGAGCCAGGTGTGATTATTATCTCCACTTGCAGTAGATGGAAAGGGAATGCGTCCAGGCTGTAAAACGTGGCTGTTCAGGCACCACTAAATCCGCTACCTTTTGTCTCCATCAGGCTCTTGTGACACAGATGGAGACACAGGCATTCTGTCCCTGTCGGTGGACACGTCTTTGTCTCCTCCAGGGCTGCAGCAGATGGGCGTGGTCAGCACAAAACTTCAGAGGGCCCTGAATCACTTAGTGGCTGAGCCAGCAGTGAAGCAACGGAAAGCTGTTCTTGGTGAGCTTCAACATTAAGTTATTATTATTATTTAAATAGATCTTTTTGAAACCATGCTGCAATTTTACATAAAAACAGGCAGAGAGATTTGTAAAAATATGACACATTAAAGGATAATAAACAGACAATGAAACAATGTAAGAGTCCCAACTCTGGTGAGTTAAACACTTAAAAAGGTCCTGATGCATGCTCAATAATCCAGGTAGAAAAATCTAAAAAACTTAAATCTGGTCCTCTGGACGTTCAAAAAAAATGTGACTCCAGTCAGCCATCAGGTGAAAAGGAGGAATCCCAGACCCAGACCTGTGGTCATTCCATATGTTGAGGGAGTATCAGAGAAACTGAGACGTTTATTTTCTAAACATAACGTCCCAGTGACTTTTAAACCCCAAAATACATTACGGCAAAGACTGGTTCATCCCAAAGATCCAGTCCCCCGGCACAAACAAAGTAATGTTGTGTATGCTGTGCAGTGTCAGGAGGGCTGTGATCAGTCTTACATCGGGGAAACTAAACAGCCACTGGCCAAAAGGATGGACCAGCACAGAAGATCAACATCATCAGGCCAGGACTCTGCGGTCTACACTCATCTCCAGGCCAGCGGTCACTCTTTCAGGGATGAAGATGTTCACATCCTGGACAGAGAGGAACGATGGTTTGAGAGAGGAGTAAAGGAGGCCATCTTTGTGAAAAGAAATCGTCCATCGTTAAACAGGGGTGGAGGCCTCCGGGTTCAACTGTCCCCCTCTTACAATTCTGTGATTGCTAGTATCACTCAGCCCTCTGTGAACAGTAAACAGCCATCAGTGTGCTAATGATCCATTGTTAGGCTGATGGT